TGAATTCTGCCAGATTCTCCTGCGGCTTCGGCTTTGTCTGAGAAACCTGAGGACGCTAATTTCACTCGTGAACAATTTTTCAGACAAACGGAACGAATGGAAAATACTATAGAAAAATATAGAAAAATATATATCGGAGAGGAAAAGGGTATTGGAAAATACCGGCAACCGTTGAAATCCTGTTGCAAGGGACGTAGGATAGATACACCATAGGTGCGGCAAAGCCATATGACGGACTCTACACATAGACAGCATTGATTCTAAACTTTAATGGTGTCTGTTGCTGCAATTGTATTTCTTTCTTTTCGCAAGTAAGAACTCTTCCATAGTCCCTTTTACCTGTAAAACAGTGCGTTTTCTTCACTGCGTTATTTTCGTTAACAGTATCCTTCATTGATGAATGAACCATGACCTCAGACACGACATTACAGATTAAATGCATACCTTGGAACAGCATCGACCTATCCTATCATATATCTATTTCACTTGTACACACGTAGAAAAGAAAGTTCTTCAGTCTCGACTACTCCGATATCGCGTGATGTCAAGTGATGTGGATATCATTGTAATTACGATCGTAATTACACGAGAGGTTGCTCGAGTAAATTCAGTCTGCTCAATACAATGCTCGTAATTTGTACGAAAGAATACAGTCAATATATTACATAATATAGTTGTGTTAATTTCGTCTGCTTCATCGTGTAGCCAACGATGGGCGTCGCTGGAATATCGAAGGACGATCTCGAAACACTCAACGGCAGCCAAACTGATCAAATTGACTGGATACGCGTATGTTGATACTATATATGCATGTGTATGAAGCGTGTATATATACTTCGAGAATTAACCATTAAAAGCCTTTATAACGTTCTGCACTACTGTCTACGGTTCTACAGCTATATTGTGGCTTGGCACATTTTCATCGTGTACCAACAGCGCTTATAGCATCATTTTTCTCAGTTAGCTCAGAAAAAATCGTTCTGTGATATATATTTCGACACGGGGTTAGGTATACTTTCAACTACATGGAACACAGAGAATCTCATTACTTTAGTCCGTCATTACGCCGGGCAATTATCCTGTTATACGTGTACATCGCGATTGTTCGCTTCTCGATAATCTTCCTCATCCATCTTCCAAAGACGCCCATGCACATTCAGAAACAACGAAGTTTCTACAAAGTATTTTTCATGGCTGATCGATCGTTAATCGATACAAAATACAGTAGGACCCCCGTTTAACGCGAGCTAATAAATTGTGTGCTCGCGTATAATAAATTGCTGGGGAAGACTCGTTTGCGAGGTGAGAACGTATTTTTGTATTAATATCTTGAGATTTAACATTATTAGCGAGGACTTGTTTAACCCTTCCGGATATATCCGGCATCCATCAGATGACCTGTGTGTACTTATATAATTCTAGTGTTACTTAACAGAATTATATAATTAACAGAATTTAATATAAATGTCTTTTAATATTAAAACTAACGACATTTGTTAGAAGAAACTAATTGTTTTATTAAGCACAGTTCTTATTTAACGGTAAAGAAAATCTTTATACACACGGTGTATCATGGCGGACAGAGCGCTCGTACCGAAAGGGTTAAAGTGCACATCGTGGGACAGTTTGTTGTTTTATCTCGAAAAGGAATTTATTTCAAGTAAACAGACCCATCGTTTAAAATAGAGCAATCTCCTTCGCATCAGACAACAAGAAATAATCTCAGTCTTTCAACTTCGAAACACCTCCACAAATGATAAGATTCGTTCGTATCGTTTCTGCATATTGTTATTAAAACGTTTCAACTTTTTACGCTCTTGATTATGTAGTTTTGGAGTATCTCTCGCGTTGTAGGGAATCCTACTGTACCTCGTCGCGGACGATCGAGGTATCATTGTCAATTGCGTGACAATTGGGCTTCCTTCCCACACATTCTCGATTCCTACGATTCTCTTGCCTTTGATACATCGCAATGTCGCCGATATACGCGCTCCTCATCGTTCGCATTGATTTCGTTTCTCTGTATGACGCGACGCAGCCGTTCGCACGTGCATGCATGCATCGTCACCGATGTACACACACGAGTATCACGAAGTTCGATAAATGTTCGTAGATGAACGTTTACTTAGACGCAAGCCAGGTCTACGAGACATCTGTAGATTAACTCTCTCTTTATTAACTTAGAACGGCTACACGTGTATTACTTAGAGAGATTAGTTCCAGCTTGGAACCGCTACATTTTTCTCGTACACAGTTACAAAAGGTTACTTTTAATAAAATGCTAACGTACCGA